GGTAGTGCAATTGGTTCGCCAGGACGATGCGCGACTGCAAGTGCTGGTAAGATATCGTCGTCGTGAAGTAGGCTAGCAGAAAACCCTCCGTCACAGCCAGGTAAAGAAAGGAAGTCAATCCATTCGTCTTTGGGCGGTTGGCACGACGGGAGTGACCGAAAGTCCCGTTTGCGAACGCCGATGCCCCTGTGTGCTCTCCTTCGCGCAGCCGAGTGCATATCTGCCAACTTGCGATGAGCCCATCCTTCACGAATCTGCTGTTCGAGGTCACGGTCAGCTTCAGCTCGTATACGTTTAAGATGCGCGTGCAGTACCTTGGTGAGTGCCTTCACCTCGTCGCGTGCTGCGTCGGGAGCGTCGACGTGGAAGGCTGAGCGCTTGGCGATGGCCAGTTCCTTGAGCAGGTCCAATCTTCGCCTCGTCGCTTCTCTGTACCAGGGCGGCCGCTCAGACACCAACGAGAAGTGCTTGGTAGCGACTTGCCTGCAAACGGCGACGAAGAGGTACATGTGGCTGTCTGGGTTCGGGTCGGTGCGTACCTCTTGAAACTGGACTTGGTACTGCTCAAGCTTCTCACGGAGATCACGAAGAAAGGGCTCACGTCCATGTCCTTGTTGGAGGCAGTCCATGATCTTAGGCCAGCTCCAGCTGCTGCGAGTAGTTTGATCGTGTCCAGGGCAGGGTAACAGAAGGCGTGCAACGATGGGGATGTGGTCCAAGAAATACTTGCTCTTGCGAGTGCGTCTCGCCGTGGTAAGCCAACGCCTGCACGTGGATTCCGCCAAAAGAGAAGACGGGATGAAAATGAAGTCGATCGTCGTCGCTCCACTGTGGCCGATGAAGATGGGGCCCACCTTGCGGTGGGTGTTGACGGCACCCATGTCGTGGTCCAGCAGCAGGTCGTGCAGAGCTTTCCCGTTCTCGTTCTCGTTGCCGTTGCCAAAAGGGCCGATGCATTCGTCCTGGTAGATATGCTGCCCACGCATGCCCATGCCAGTGTTGGCGTCCATCATGATGAGGGGTATTCGACGATACGGGCAGTTGCGTAACAATGTGTCTAACCACTGTCAAAGTACTTGACAACCCTTGCGCCAGCTTGGTCGAGCTTTCGCCGTGCGAGGGCGTGGCTCGAAGTACAGAACAGCCACGCGTAGACAGAGTGGTCCCTGGTCAATGTCGATCATGCCACCTCTGCCCGCGACGATGTTGGGCGGCACCTCGATGGCTGTAACTGATGAGTTCCTGATGCGCTCGCCCAAGATGATGCTGCAACCCGCGCTTTTGTTCGTGCATGCTGCAGGTTGCCAAGGGAAGTGGATGATGCTGTGGTACGGCGTGCTCTCTCGTGTGTGTACTGGTCGAGGATCACCTCGTGCGAATGCCTGTGGTCGTCGTCGGCATGTTCCCGTCAGGCCTCCCACCGCCACGCTGCGGTACGCCAGGCTCAGCTCCTGAAGTCTCGACGGCTGGAGGCTGCCCACGTTGTGCGCGAGCACGGGAAGCGCACAAAGGAGACCTTTCGCGCCAATCATGGGCGCGCGACCCCACGGCTCCCGTGGCGGCTCATGGCAGGCGCGAGCGAAGGGGGCTCGGTCTGACGCGCGGAGCCGTGCCGTCGCTGGAAAGAGCCAGTGCGGCTTTGAAATTGCGCATGCTGATGATGACGACGATGACGATGGTGATAATGATGCTAATGTTGATGATGATAAATACGACGCCGACGACTACCACAACGACGACGTCAGCGAATATTATTATTATTATCATTATTATTATTAGTATTATCATTATTATTAATATTATTGTGATGGCGATGGTGATGTCGATGCTTATGGTGATGCGGGGGAGGAGGAGAGCGCAGGCGGCCCCACTAGGCCTCCCCAGGCGGCCACAGGAGGATCCGCAGGAACCTCTTCGGTAGAAGACCAGAAGTTTGTTCGGTAGAAGTCCAGAGGTTTGTTCGGCAGAAGTCCAGCAGGCAGCTCCTTTTCAACATGGGGTTCTCGCTTGAAACTTACTCTGTGCTGCGATCACAAATGATGAACTGCGCAGCAGATTTACGGATGGAAGGCGGTTTGCAACTTTGGGTTCTCGCCTGAAGCGTGTTTCATTCATCAACACCACCAGCGCATGCAACAAGAGCAGGACCGGAAAGTGGCGCTTTGTCAAAACGGAGCCCACACCCCGGCATTCTCGAACTTTTATCAAACTGTACGGTCCTACATCCTGGAACAAGCTATCTTGAACTTTTACGAAGCTGTACGATCCTACCTCCTGGAACAAGCTTTCTTGACCTTCTTCGAAACTGTACGAGCCTACATCCTGGAACAAGCTTTCTTGAACTTTTACGAAACTGTACGATCCTACATCCTTGAAGCAGCTTTCTTGACCATCCACGAAAGTGTACGATCCTGCATCCTGGAACAGGCTTTCTTGCCTTTCTACGAAAGTGTACGATCCTGCATCCTGGAACAAGTCGTAACTCGAAGGATGCAGTGCTGTTCCTTTCCAACATGTGGCAGGCCCACGAGGCAGCGATCGCAAGGGAAACGATTGCGAGGGCCCTCGAGGGGGGGCGTTGGACGGGCCGGTGCGTTACAGCATCGGTCGCGCATCCTGGATTTGCTTTGGTCCTCCTCCTCTAGGGGAACACGGTGGGGGCATGTTAAAAAACTCTGCGAGCACCCACGAGCGGGCGCGTGCTTGCACATCAATTCTTGGCGCCGCCGCCTGGGAGCTCAAACGGAGCCGCGCGGCAGGCCCCCGAGCAGCCGAGGAGCGGGGGCATTGGATAAGGAACCCTTAGATAAAGAAGCCCAGGGTCTGGAGGCCGGTGGAATTCCACTTGAGGCTTGGACATGGATACCACCGCCGCCCTCATGAGATAAGGAAACCCCAAAGATCCGGAGCGTCCTGGCCACATTCCTTCACGAACGCTCCCACCGTACAGGACGGCATAAACATCAAATGTCGGAGATCCGCGCGGATTTCTTGGATCGGCGCTGGCGCACGAGGCGCCACGGCGCTGGAGGCGCCGCGAGTGGGGGCCCAGGTGCAGATCCACAGTTTTCCTCCCTCTGCCATCCTCCATTCCTGTTCCTCATAAAGAACTCCTCCCTGTCGCGCCCCGAGTCTGGTCGAAAGGGCGGGCTGGGCGTTTCGCGTGAGACTTCCTCACCACTTCTGGCACGGATGCTGAAAGACTGACAACCGCATCACAGACGGAGGGCGGGTGGTTTTCAAACTGTGGATCTCGCTCTGACCAACGCACATTTGCTTCAAACAGTTGCAAGAGCTTTGCGAATTGAGGGCGGGTGGTTTTCAAAATGTGGATCTCGCCTTATCGCCGCGTACATTCAATTTTAAGTGTACAAAGGCTTCACGGATTCAGGGCAGCTCGTTTTCAACATGTGAGTACCGCCTTAGCGCCTCGCACATTCGTCTTAAATAGTTTGCAACACCTTCACGGATTGAAAGCGGGCCGTTTTCAACATGTGGTTCTCGCCTTACGGTCGCGCACATTGTAGAATTTGCGAAAGCTTCATGGATTCAGGGCGGGTGATTTTCGAAATGTGGCTCTCGCCTTAGCGCCACGCACATTTGTTGTTCACAGTCGCTGGAGCTTCACGGATTGAGGGCGGGTCGTTTTCAAAATGTGGTTCTTGCTTAATGCCGCGCACATTCGTTCTCAAACGTTGCAAGAGTTTCACGGATTGTTGGCGGGTGGTTTTCGAAATGTGGCTCTCGGCTTAGCGCTTCTAAAGTGCTGCAAGGAATTCCTTGGTTGAAGGCAATTCCTGTGCCGAAATGTGGTTCTCGCCTTAGCGCCGTGCGCACTCGCTTTAAACATTTGCAAAGTGCTACTGGTTACCATGGTTAACGTACCAGAAACGGTGTTTTGAAACGATTCAGGGCGAAACAGTTACGTTGATTGGCTGTGTTGAAGTCCCAGGACTGGCGTTCTGGCACGATCCAGGATCGTCAAGACGTCACAGTCAGGGTAACTCGTGGCGTTGAAATCCTGAGAACGGTGTTTTGGCACGCTTCAAGATGTTCACACAATTGTTCCCCAACGGGGCAAGTCCCCCAGCGGAAATGACCCCTTGTAGGGGCCTCTGAAGAGGGATCTCTTTGAGGGAGAGTGTATTTCAACATCGTTGATGGGTCTTGGGCTTGCACTGGTCCTTTTCCTCCTCCTCCTCCTCCTCCTCTTCCTCCTCCTCTCCCCCCTCGTCATCCTCCTCTTCGGGACTCAGGACTGCGGTCGTTTGATCCTTGTCAGGAGCTGCCCTCGACCCCCCCCACACACCTGGCGACGCCAGGGGGAGGGGTAACAAAAACCAGAAGGCTGCCAGGCAGAAGGAAGCAGACACACAGTAGCACCTGAACGAGGGAAGACAGGAGCGAGGTGAGGCTGCCTGTGCGGCCAGTGCACGTGCAGGCCTCCTCCTCCTCCTCCTCCTCCTCGGCCTCCTCCTTCTTCTAGTCTGCCTCGTCTGCCTTTTCCTCGTGCTCGACCTCCTGGGCCTCCCTGGTGCCCTTCTCCTGCTCGGGCCGCCCCGCTGCTCCTCCGCCTCCTCCTCCTCCTCCGTCGCCTCGTCGTCCTCCTCCTGCTCGCCCCTCCTTCCTCGGCTCCTTTTCCGTCGACTCGTTTCCCTTGTCTCCCTCTCCTTCGACTCCTCCTCCCTCGGTTCCTTCTCGCCCTTCTTCTTCTGCTTCGGCCCTGGTCTTCCTTTTCCTTCTCCTCATTATCCTCCTCCTCCTCCTCCTCCTCCTCCTCTCTCTCTCTTCGGTTACATTCCCCTTTGCTTCTCCCACTGTTCCTTATCCTTCGACTCCTCTCCTCCCCTCCGCCGATTGTCCCTCTCCCTCGCGTCGTTTCCTCGCCGTCCCTTCCCTCCCGCAGCCCCTCGTCATCCCTTCCCTCCCTCCCTCCCCTCCCTCGCCTCCTCCCCCACCATCGCCTGCTCCCTCCCTCGCTCCTCCGCTGCCGACCCCAGCGGCGCCTCTGCGCCACAGAGCATGTTCCATGCAACCGCCACCGGGTGGCAGCCGTGCTCCGGAGAGGAGCCTCAATGCCTGCGCGAGCGGGGGGAGGAGGAAACGGGATGAAATGACATGATTGCCCTTTTTGGAGGGAGGAGGAGATTGAGGAGGAGGAGGAGGAGCAGGAGGACGAGGAGGAGAGGGAGGAGGAGAGGGAGGAGGAGGAGGAGGAGGAGGAGGAGGAGGAGGAGGCTGGCGAAACTAGACGAGCAAACGTTGGCCGGCGTGGGCCCCCTCAGCCGTGTGCCTCTCGCCCGTGTGGTGTGCACTCTACGGGGCGCAGTACGTGCGATGCGACCTGCGTGATGCGCAGCCTGTGGTGTGCACGGCGTGGGCCCCCTTGGCGGTGTGCCTCTCGTCCATGTGGTGCACTCCACGGGGCGCAGTACGTGCGATGCGACCTGCGTGATGCGCAGCCTGTGGTGTGCACGGCACGTGGTGCAAACTGTGTGATGCAGCCTGCGTGGTGCGCAGCATGTGCGGTGCAGTCGACGCGGTGCGATCCATGTGGGCGGTGCGCTACGGATGGTGCGATCGTGTGCGGTGCAACCGACGTGGTGCAACCAGTGTGGCGCAAGCTATGTTGGGTGACGTTCATGGGGCGCTACAAGTGGTGCAATGTTGTGTTGCCAATCAATGTTGTAAGCCGATGTGGAGAAACCGATGTTGTGCAATCTGCGTGGTGCACGCAATATCGTGCAATCGATGTGATGCAACTGACGTGAACCAATCCACGCGATGCAATATATCAAGATAGCCGCGAAAAGAAACGTGAAACGCGATACGCAAGATCAGGAATCAGTGGGAAACGGAAACAGTACAGCTTCAAACGGAGCGATAGGAAACGCGCAATACGTATCGAAACGATACTGAAAGACGCGCTCGGACTCATGGAACAAAAAACAAACGAGATGAAACGAGAAAGGTGGTACTAAGAATTCAAATAGCATGGCTATTCCAAGGGGCGGGCCGCCGGCAGGGCCACGGGCCATACGTATGGCGCGCCTGGAAGCCAAGCGAAGGCGCCATGTTCAAGGGGCCCAAGGACACACAGCTGCACACAAATCCCAGGATTCCCAATGTTTTTCCGCATTTTCTGGAGATGTTCGTCCCCCCCCCACCTCCCATACTTCCCAATAGTCTCCTGGGAGTCGACGATTCATTGTGTCTGTGTGTGTGTTCTTTCCCCTCCTGCATGTCTCGAGCCTGCGCCGAAAGCCAGCGGCCGGCGACGAGGGCAAGGCCCGGGAACGACGCGCCCCGGGCGGGCCCGCGCTCCTCGTGCGCCCAGACACCTGCGGGCCGGAGTCGCTCGCCACCGCGCCTCGGAGGCAGCGACGACGGAGTCGCTGTCCCTGCCGAGCACCAACACATTGTCAGCGTATCCTGCGGCTGCGGTGCCATCGACAGACCTCAGCGCGAGCCCGGGCCCCGCGTCGGAAGTCGCGCGGAGACGGGAACCGGCCCCGCGAATGGCATCGCGCAGGACTGCCCGGCAAGAGTGGGCGCCCGCGCGATGCCCATGGGCATCGCCGCGACGCTGGGCAAGAGCGGCCGGCTGAGCCTGGGGGGGCCCTGGGGGCCCAGACGAAGCTGCAAATCGACGGGCGGAAGCGCGCGCGGTAGAAGGCGCGCCGCGCGTCGCCCGATGCCGCCGAGCGCGGGCCCGCCCTTGTGGATTCGAGAGCGGCGGAGCGGAGGGGGGGGGGGGCGAGTGGAGGGAGGAGACTGGAAGCAAAAGTATCAGATATCAACCTCAGATGTCGCGACTTCTTGGCAGCACCAGAAGGCCCTTGCGACCCTGGGCAAGCGGGGACGACGGCGCGCCTCCGCGAGCTAAACGACCCAGGAAATCAGCAGACGTACCAGGGGAATGGGAGAGAGTAAGGCCGACGCGCGCAACTCTAGGGCATGCTTCCTGCACCAGGGCCCGGGCTTGCACAGCTGGCCTCGGCGCGTGCGACCGTGAGCCCTTCTGCCAGCAAGAGTCGGTCTGAAAGAACATTTCGCCAAGATCCACGGGGGCCGTGCCCTCGTCAAGCCGCGAAGCCAGGGCCCGCGTCCCCGCGCAAAGTTCTGTTGCGCAGGAGCTCGCCAAGGGCCCCCCGAGCAATCCCGCCCTGCTTGGGAGAGGGCCGAAACGACGGAAACAGCGGCTGAACCGATCGAGCCCCCTTTTCCTGAGCACGAGGCAAAGGTGCGCGGGCATGCCCCCTTCCCCATCCTCCCTCCTCCCTCCTCCCTTCTCCCTCCTCCCTCCTCCCTCCTCCCTCCCCCTTCCACCTCTTCCTCCTCCTCCTCCTCCTCCTCCTCCTCCGCCTCCTCCGCCTCCTCCTCCTCCTCCTCCTGACAGCTGGTTCGGCATAGCCACGTCGCTGTTGGCGCAACGGCCAGAGTGCTGCAGGTGCTGGCGGCGGCGAGCGACCGATCGGCGGCGGGCAGGGTCCGCGCGCCTCGGAACGTCGAGCAAAGGAGGCGGGCACGCGTCTCTCTTCCTTCCCGTGCGCGCTGGAAGCAGGTCCAGCAAGCTTGCCGGAATGCGGGTGGCTGTCTCCCGAATCCACAGGGGAGTCAGCCATCTCCGGGCCCTGACTCTTTCGGGCCGCTTTTCTTGGCGCCTTTCTTGGCCAGGGCTCTCCCCTCCCGCGCCTTCCGGCGCTCCCTCGAGACTCGAGACTCCTTGGTGAGCCGATCCTTCTCGTGGCCGGCCAGCTGCGGGCTCGCACAGACACATGCGCGCACCATGTCCGCGCCCATGTGCAAGTGGTTCTGCGTGGCCCCCATCAGGGCCTCCTGGCAAGCGGCTTCCTAGAACACCATCTGTTCCAACATGCTGCGGGCCCGCTCGTGCTCATCCACGCCGGAGGCCGTCAACTTGGCCTCCGTACAGAAGCGCAGGCCGTCCTGCTCGATGAAGCGGAGGACCCACGGCATTCCTGGGGCCGCAGATCCGCCAGTCCGGCCAGGCATCCTCACGCATGATCAGAATCGCGCCCCTAACGGCACGATGGCGGTTGCCTCAAGTGTTCAGCCCCGCGTGCTGCACTCGCACGTCCCCCGCGGCTGCAATCGGGGTCGGAGCACCGGCCGTGCCCGCGGCGGCCGCGGCTGGAGCAGCGGCGGCAGGTGCCGCGCTCGCGGCTCCAACCCCGAGCTAGGCGGGGGCGTCGGCCATGGCCAGCGCCGGCCGCGGCAGGCGGCATCGCGAGAGGCACGAGCGCGCCTCCAGGGGCAGCCCCCGCGGCCGCGGCCTGCACGCCAGCGCCAGAAGCCACGGCAGGGGCCGCGGCGGCGGGCCCGAAACCACCGACGGCCGCCGCAAGGCCCGCGACACCACCTGCAGCGCCTCCTCTCGCTCCCGCGGGGGCAGGCGCTGCCGGTGCCATGCCAGCAAAGCCCGGCCTGCCCACGGTGATTGATGACGGCGAAAGCCTGAAGCGGCAGGCCGAGGCGAGCAGCAGCCACATCACGAAACCCTTGGAGGACAGCAGGAAGAGGGACGTGGCCGTGAGGCTGCTGTGCCGAGGAAGAGGTCGCAGATAACGGGATGCCAACAGCCGTTGCCGTTCGGCCCGAGACAATCCAAGAATGAAGGACAAGATGAACAGAATGAGCACCAGCCCCCAAGGAAACGAATAGTCACAGGGCTCGTAAATCACCTCTTTCGCTGTCTCCCCTGTTTGCGCACAAGCCGAAACTGGCAGCAACCGTCTGGGCACGGAGGCGCAGGCTCTGATAGGCCCCCAGACGAATGCAGCGGTGTTTTGAGCCCGGGAACACTCGGCAGCCACCACCGGGGCGAGGGAAGGGCGGCACGAGGAGGAGCAACAGGAGGACACGAGGGAACGGGAGAGAGTGGAGGCAAGCGTACGACGACGACGACGTCCCGCCCTACCCGACAGGGCGGCCCGCCTGTGCGGGGAGCCGAAGGTCACGTACAGCTGCCCGAGCAGCATCGTGTGCAGCGGAGGGAGGAGGAGGAACGAGAGAGGGGAGAAGGAGCCATTGGGAGCAGCAGGCACGAGGGTGCGACGCGCCCCTGTGAGAGCTTGGGCCGCGAGCCGGCAGGCAGCACGCGTGGGGGGCAAGGGCGGCCTCCGGACGTCTGCCCTCTCTTGCGAAATCATCCATATTACACCCTGCGAAATGCTTAAGGAATCATGGGTTAAGAAATTCATAGTCTCAGAACTTGAAATCTAACCCAACATTTCTATTATAGTCTTAAGATCTACATTGAAACATTGAGAATAATCGAGACTCTGGCCGGAAAATCAAGTTTTCTTAAGCATCGCGTAAGGTGTACAGTTTCATAAGGGTTGCTGGGCTCGGCGCGTGTTCCATAAGATTCCCCATGAAGGAGTAGTCAAGTTGCGCATAATAACACTGGCGGCGGGGATCGGCGGATTTCGTCCGATGAGGAAACAAGACCTCAAATGTGGCTGGCTGCAGGGGCCCGCGAATTTCCTAGTGCATGATAAGTTGACGAACCAACGACGACATTTGAAAATCCAACGGAAGGCTAGGATCGGAGAGGTTATACATGGATCCAACTGGAAAGAAAACCGAAGATCAGAATATATGAGAATTCTGCAGCAGGCGAGTGTCGGTGCATGCCCGAATGATCCCATCACGCAAAGCAGTTCACATGTTGAAAAATGTTGCGGGGGGCGGGGATCGGTGCGTTTGGATTCGTATACGAACATATGGACAGCGTATCCACCCAACAAGCGTGCATAACGTCACGCCAAACACATGCGACGCGTACGTAATTTGACACACGGTAAAAACGTGCACAACACGTATACAACACGTATACACCATGTTGTCGAAACGTGTGTAGTTGCGTATACGAAATGGGGAACAAAACGTATGCAAGGGGGGGCCAAAAAAAGAAACCCGAACGGACATGTTGAGCTTTCCGCTCAATATCGCCCGTTCCGAGGGGCCCCAGAAGCCCCGACGAAGCCAAGAACCCCCCAGGAGGCCCCAAAAGGCTCGTAGAGTCCTCCGAGAGCCCCCCGCGAGGCATCCCAACAGAC